GAGAAAACAAATCCCATCACAGTTCATTTGTTGGACTTTTACCTTTCTAGTATTGAACAAACAATGAAAAATACATCAAAATTTTTTTTCAAATTTTTTTTTATTTTTTTAAAGTATCGAAACCGGATCTGATTTCGGTACGGTATACCGTAGCCACCAGTAACCGGTATTTCGGTAATACCGGATACCGGTATGCATCCCTATGCTATGACCAGAAACGCTTCTTCTTGCCCCTGTTGAACATGACAGAGACTATTTGAGAATTATTATCGTTTTTTTAATTTATTTATGTTTTTGTACTTTGTTATATACGGAAGAGGATTAGGGCCACATGATTTTTTTTTTGGGAGGATTTGAAAAAAAAACGTTTTTTTAAAGTTCTGATTAAAGTCAGAATTCTGAGAAAAAAGTCAGAATTCTGAGAAAAAAGTCAGAATTCTGACTTTTTTCGCCCAAAAAAAAAACATTTTTTTCAAATCCTCCCAAAAAAATAAATAATGTGGCCCTAATCCTCTTCCGTAGTTATAATTATTAATTTGAGTGAGAAAAAAAGAGAATATATATATATATATATTATTGTTGTATGTTTTTGTTTCTGACATGTTCAATAAATTGACTAATACACAAGGAACAGTTTTGACTGCATGACTCTAACTTGTAGTGCTGTATTTTCACAGAGTGTGTATAAGTACGTGTACTTCAGTAAATCTGCACAGTGTGTGTTAGTACGTGTACTTCAGTAAATCTGCACAGTGTGTGTTAGTACGTGTACTTCAGTAAATCTGCACAGTGTGTGTTAGTACGTGTACTTCAGTAAATCTGCACAGTGTGTATTAGTACGTGTACTTCAGTAAATCTGCACAGTGTGTATTAGTACGTGTACTTCAGTAAAGGATCTATATACTCCCTCCTGTCCTCCAGGCTGCGCTGGCGGTCTGGATCACCGTGCTGAGGTTCATGGGAGACTTACAGGAGCCCAAGAGTCAGATGGCGATAAACGACGGCAGCGAGAAGATCCCCGTCATGACGAAGATCTACGAGACCCTCGGAAAGAGGACGTACAAGAGAGAGCTGCAGGAGCTGCAGGTGGAGGGGGAGGTGAGAGGGCCACGGTGTTTTGATAGCGTTACAGATTGAGGATAACATACATAATGTAATAATGACTCCATGTTTGTTTCTACAGAACAGCGCCATCGACAGCCAGAAGAGGAACAGTGTGAGACATAAACTGGTGTCTCTCACCCTGAAGAGGAAATCTAAAATCACTGAGGAGGTGAGATTCAAACCAGCAAGTTATTTTATAGTTATCACCAGATGTTGTTGTTTCTGTACTTGCAAAAAAACAACTGCACACTGTCGAACTTTCAAAAACAGCTGCTTTGCTGTCATACCTTCATCAGGCAACAAGTTATTGGAAATACATATTTTATTTCCAATGTTTTGATGCACTCCCTCCTCTCCTACGCTCCTGTCTGATGAAGACGTGTTGAATGTTCTTCTGGTTCTTTATATTTGAACATGTTATCATATACTGGAGCACTTACACAACACACTGATATCACTTGTTTTGGATTAAAGACAATAAAAAAGGCAATCATGTTGTAAAATGTACATTCTCTAGTTTTGGTTTCATGATGATGTTGCCCTGGGAGACTTCAATGAGTCCCCATAAGCAGTGTCAGCAGTCGTTGGACAGTGTGATTACTCAGAGCACATCAATTAAGACGTTTTTCTTTGTTTAAAATGTGCTTCAGGTGACCAGACGTCTGACGGAGGGGGATTACGGCCTGCAGGGGAACAGCATGCTGGAGGACAGACCCACCTCCAACCTGGAGAAACTCCACTTCATCATCGGGAACGCCATCTTAAGACCCGCCCTCAGGTGAGCCGAGAGAAACTGCATATTTACTTTCTTTAATTCCTTTTAATGTCATCACCAAATCCAGACTAGTGTGTAAAATCATGGAGGCCGCAGTGTTTCTAAATCCTGCAGAGGTGGGAAGTAGTGGAGTACAAATACTTTGTTACTGTACTTAAGTACATTCTGGTATCAGTACTTTACTCCACGACTTATTTTTCGGACAACTTTTACTTCTTACATGTTGAACCCAAATACCTGTACTTTCTACTTCTTACATGTTGAACACAAATACCTGTACTTTCTACTTCTTACATGTTGAACCCAAATACCTGTACTTTCTACTTCTTACATGTTGAACACAAATACCTGTACTTTCTACTTCTTACATGTTGAACACAAATACCTGTACTTTCTACTTCTTACATGTTGAACTCAAATACCTGTACTTTCTACTTCTTACATGTTGAACACAAATACCTGTACTTTCTACTTCTTACATGTTGAACACAAATACCTATACTTTCGACTTCTTACATGTTGAACACAAATACCTGTACTTTCTACTTCTTACATGTGGAAC